AGTTCCGAAAATATTGACTTGGTTCGGCTTTCAAGTGCCGAAAATAAATTTTTTTTTCGGTTTTCAACTTTCCGAATATGAGCTATAATTTCGGACAACAAGTTCCGAACATAACAGGTATTTTCGGACAACAACTTCCGAACAGAATAGGTGTTTTCGGACAACAACTTCCGAACAGAAAATAAATTTTTTTTTTCCTTCTAACACTTAATTAAAACGCTTAATTATAACACTCACTACACACACTCTCATTATAATTTAAAACACTTATTATTTACACACACACTCTCATTAATTTTGCACACACACTCGTTACACACACTTATATTTTAAACACTCTCATTAATTTTACACACACAGACCGTTATTATTTACACACACACTTAGTATTTTTTGCAGATAAATGGATCTGAATATTATTGACGCTGTTATGAGGAGGGGATTCGCCATCCTTATCGACTTTACCAGGCTATCGAGAGTATGACACATGTTCTGAAGGTCAGCACATTGACGAAGCTGGACCTAGTTCTGCTGGACCTAGTATGCTGGAGGTCGCTTTCATCTTCGACGTTGACATACAGTCGTAGGCCTCGGCGTAGGCATACAGCTGATTCGTGACATGTTATGTTGTTACATGTATTTTGTTAGTTGATGAATATTGTTTGTGTTTTTTTGTAAGATGACATTGTTGTAATGGTAACAGTGGTTAATATTTTCTTATTAGAATGGAATGACAACAATGGTATTGTAATGACCTTTTATTATTAGAATGAAATGGTCGATAACATTCAATCCACATTGCAAAAAATAAACACATCAACATAAAAAACACATTCATTAATTTCTTCATAATTGTAACATTGTCAAATGCATACATGTGTCATGCGACATCAACAACATCAAAAGTCTCTCGAGTAGCTACATTATCATGAATAATGTCCTTGAAATGTTGAATGCAACGCACATATGCATCATCCCAGTCCACAGCGCAAGGGGGACGTATTTTCTCCAATTAGTGGCAATAGGAGGAACTGGATGGCCTGGCTGCAACAAAACCTGCACCAAATATCAATTGACTTAGTGGTCATACCTCATAACTTCTTCTACATGCATAAACGCAATTGATAAGTTTCTGTTTATACCTGCACGAAATGATTTCCGTTGACAAACCCAATGGCAATCTCACGTCTATCAAGTTGAGGTACTGGCACGGTTCTAAGAGGTAAAAAGGTGAGACATTGCTGTAAAGACAAGTGGTATAACACAGATTGTAGCACGATGCAACAAGATGGCCATGTCTGGCATAAGTCATCCAATGTGAGTATCCAGGACTGTCTTCAAAGTATGACAATATGCTTGTCAATCTTCAAACTTTCATACGACCCATAAAAGTGTAATGTATTCCTCTTTGGTGTGTGCAGCTCACCCAATAGGTCACGCCTAACCGAGCCAATCATCTTCTGTATGACGAATTGAAGCAGTTATAGCCCTGAAACCACAATTCCCATTGCAGCTACATCCTTGACAAACTTAATATATGTTTTAACCCAGTAGGGAAAGCATCAACATATGCACCAGGTTTCACTGTTCTAGTAATGTATGCCTTCCCTTTCGGGTTCACCTTCTCCTTTCCCTTAACAGGTCGCTTCTTCTTGGTTTGCAAGTAGAAGCTAATGAGTGATTTGAGTGTCATAGGTGAGAAGGAATCATGTCCAGATGCACTAACTCAAATGCACACGGGTCACGACGGGTAGAAAACATTGATCTTCTTATGATCCCCGAGTGACGTGTTTTGGGCTTCACCTCCGGCTCAACAAGAAAGTGCTCTCGGAATATACAATCTCTTTCAATTCTTCAAAAGCTCCAATCGCATGTTCTATCACTTTCATTAAACTTTGTTGACAAAACAACTCTACTTCTGTATGACAAGTCAACCTCTGTTTCCTCTTCTTTCTCTGCATATGGAGATTTGAAGTTGCCTCCACTGTGAGTGTATGGTAAGCAATGGTATAGGACGATCTTGTCTGATGTATCAGCCAATCTTCAGGGCGCAAGGTAAACATGAGTGTGGCGAAGGACGCTATCCACCAAAGCTTTTCAAACGATCTGACCAATGGATTTGGCTCTCTCTTACTCTCGACAAGCAAAATACTCCAATGCAGAGATGAGAAGACACATTCCCCCGAGGCCCCCTAAATTTGAGGAAGGTTTAAAATTTGAATGTTGCACGAACAGTTTAGACTTTTCTCAAATGAGCCTATTAATCATGTGTCTGCAAACTCAGCGACTCTGTTATATTTCTCAATGATGCCGTGAATGAGACTTGACATGAACCTAATTGTCTTTTAAGTTTTTGCCAGTGTCACTCTCAGGCCCGTTTCAATAAATGATAAGTCAAGTTATTTAAAATCAAGTGCAGTTATTAATAACATATTCAACAAAAGTAATGTTACCGTTCGTTGTAAACATTGCCACAATGCATACACGTGTCTGTCCATGCCGCCACAAAATTGTCGCTTGTAAGGAACCAACCAAGTATCCATGACATATTTTGATTGCATCAGGATAACTACTGAATTCCTTAAGTAATGATTTAAAACGCTCCTCGATATGAATTTCAGAAGATGATACACTACAGGATCCACTCATGGTTTGAACTTCTCCCATTTTGCGTGTCTCAAACATTTTCTTGCATTTCGTCAACACATTCTTACTGATATGCCAACGACATAAATAATATGTCTGGCACTCGGGAATATCTTTTGTATGGCATTCATCAAGGCTAGCTCTCTTCTAGTTGACAAGTATATTACCTATGTGTGGATCATTCACAACAAACCCTCCATGACATCACGTATGTGGCTAACAAATCTCTCTCTTTAAAAATTTACTTCATTCGGAAGTAGTTATCCGAATGTTTTTCCAAATTTCGGAAGTAGAATGTTGTATAAGTTAACATTTTTCGGACAACAACTTCCGAATTTATATAAATGTTTCGGACAACAACTTCCGAAATTTATCAATTTATTCGGACATCAACTTCTGAAAATACATAATTATTTCGGTAGTACATTTCCGAACAAAATAACAAAATTCGGCACTGGTTATCCGAACACGCTGCGAAAAAAAAAAAAAATTAAACTCACATTTCCTTCGCTCTACTTCACATGAATACTTATTTGCTGATTTTCAGAAGACAAATCCTCCATCACAAATAAGTAATGAAGAATAAGGAAGGAAGAATGAGGAAGACAGCTTGTGGAAGGAGTGTGGAGCTTGTGCAAGGAGTGTACACTAATGAAGAATGGAGTAACTTTGGAGCTCTGGTATGGAGTCTGTGTGTGTGGATCATTTAGCAAAATGAGGAAGCAGAGGCATTGCAACGTCTGTGTGTGTATTGAGAGGATGTGTGTTTATTTGAATTGTGTAAGATGTCTATAATAGTAATTTTATTTAGGAATAAAATTATAATAAAAATAAAATTCATTAAGTGTGTGCAAAGAGTGGAATTGGTGTGTGCAAATAGAGGCTCCCAATTCTAAGTACCAAATTACCAAGTACACCTTTCCTGTTGCCGTCTGGCTCTCTCACCCTCTCTCACCATTTTTCTCCTCTCTTTATCTCTCTACATCGTTCTGTTTCTCTCAAGAGATCGTGTCCGATTGGCTGCTCTTTCTCTCTCTTCTTCGGTCGCTCCTTGGCGGTTCAGAAATGGTGGTTCTGGGCTCGAATTAAATCGATGCTGTTTGGAGTGGATTGGATTAGGAATTTGGGATTAGGGTTTTTGTGATTTTGATGAGGCAGGGGAGGGTTTGGAGGCGATCTGGGTTTTGGTGAATTGTAGGGTTTTTGTTGATGTTGTTGTTTGGAAGAGGGGAATTTAGGGTTTGGGATTGATGGTTGTCGAGGCGAAAATTGGGGAAGATGCAAGGGTATTATGCATGGGCGGGGAGGTGAAAATTGGAAACGGAGTCGGCACATGTGGTCGGTCCCCTCGCGCGGCACCGCAGTGACGAGGACTGTAGCCGGTGATTCTTCAGCATCTACGCTTGATTCCTTCTGCAAGGTATTGCCTTGGTGGGTCTTTCAATTATTTCAATTTCACTTCTTATTGATTCATACATGTTTATTGGCTCTACTGCATTGATGATTTTCCGCTTTCGTGTGTATGTATTTTTTAGTAATTTGTTGGGGGATTCGATAAAATTGCTTGTTTTTTTTTTTTTACAATTATGTAGTGGTTGAATTTTGACCCTCCTTTTGTTTTTAGGTTGAGGGTTTTAGGCAAATGAATCTATATATGCGTATTTTTAAGTTATGATTCCTTGGATTGATTGATTATAGATTTTTATTTATTAATTTCTTAAACGTAGAACTTGGAAGTAAACATGTCAAAGCAAATAAATTTAGTGGGTTATTTTAGTTTATTGAATTTTTCATTGGTGATGTATGATTTTTAAGTTTTTGCTATTAAATGCTATCATTGGCCGTTTATACTAGAATTCAGAAAAGACTCTTCCTTCGGTGTATACCACCATTCAATAACATTAAAAAAAATTCTCAAAAACACCACCAACCAACATCCACGAAAAAAGCCAACATAAAATGAAATAGAAAAGCAAAGTAAAAACAAAGATTGGCAAAATGAAGTGAAATTCAACCCAGGACTTGCTTTGTTAACTGAGAATTGTGTTGAGCAACTTTCAAGGTAGAAAATTTGATTCGAATCTAATCTCCTCTAGAAATAAAATCAAATATATAATTCTGAATGTACTTGTGTTTTGCGGGCAATCATCATTGATTCTTATCTTGTTGCCGTTGATTTTCTGGTTATCAACATCAACGTCTATGAGCCAAGTGGGTTATCAATCTTTTAATTGGAGTCCTCTGTGATGGGCAGCATAAATATGCTTCATGGTGTTTACATGGGACGGTGGACAAGGAGGAGTTTGGAAAGGATTGTGAGGTTAAAGAAATGAGACTGATTGTTGTGATTTGGATGATAAGGTTCTGAGTATGTTTCCTAATGAGTTGAAGACCAAATCGAAGGAGAAGAAATTTTAGAGAGACAAAAATACGACATTGTGGGTCTCTCTTTTGGGTTATGTAGTAGATTTAGGTGGGTTATCAGTAAAACAAAATGTTAGCGAAAATAAAACTTTTTGGTGGTGATGTTGGAGAGTGATGGCAACAATAGAAATGGATGGTAAAGAACCAGAGGAGGCTGTGGGAAGGAAGAGGGACCACTGTTGCACTAAAGAGGGAAAGGGGGAGGCTAGAAGTGGTGGAAAGAGGGGAATAGTGAAGGAAGGTGGCAGTGGTCGACAATGGTGGTTGTGGGAGGGAGGGGTTGCGATAGGAGGTGGTGGTGGGGTTTCCGATGACCATGACGGGGCAGAGGATGGGAGGCAAAAAGAAAAGAGAGAAATAATCACATGAGGCACACAAAAGTAAAGAATTTAAGGTGTGAATAAAAGTGGCTGACGTAGCATTGCCTGGTTGGCTGTCCGTAAACCATTTGGTTCATGGGACAGCCGTGAAAAAGATATCTCTTTTGTAATATGCACACTACAGTATTTTGTTTCTGAATTATGCATCAGCATTATTTTCCGAATTTAATGAAATTTTTGGTTATTTGCGGATAATATATATAGTAATTAAAAAGAAAGAAAAAAGAGGGAAAAAGCTGTGATCCCTTGCTGCATCTACTTGCCCAAAAAAAATCCCTTGCTGCATCTGTGTTTCTGGGTCACAGTGTATTCACTTCATCAATGCGTTATACCTTGTTTATGTCTTAATATATGATACTTAATGCTATGGAAATGATACTCTTTAACATTAAACTGAATTGAAGAATTGGTAAATAATTTATGTAAAAACTAGACCAAACTAATCTTTATGTTACAATCAAGTGCGGTTGGCTACATGAATATTTCTTGGTATTCTTCTATGTCAAGGGCTATATGTTTAGTTTAATAAATTCATATTTTTTTACTACTACATTACATATCAGTTTAGATTTCTCTCCTAAAATTTTCATATATAGTGATCATATCATTCTATCTTATTGTTGAATTTCCATGTCTTTATTGGATATGACCAAACTATCTTAGCATGTTTTTTTTTAAAATTTATCTTCAATTGGTTGGTGCTACGCCTATCATTTCATATATATATATATATATTTAATTTTATTTACTTTTAGTCTTTTCACATCCATGTAAGCATCGTCAACTTGGCTACTCTGATTATATGAATGCATTATTTCTTCGCTGCCATACATTATGTCCCTTTGATCATTCTTGGCCATATAGTTGTACTATAAAAAAATTCTTCTAATTTTGTTGGAATTCGTTGATCATATAATATGCTAGACATACTTCTCCATTTGAGCAACATATTAGTCTTCATAAAATCCTTTTCCTTCTCTATATACTTGTCTATTAGTTTGCACTGTCTATTAATCTGCGTAGTTAATATATTGCTTTGATAGTTTATATACCTGTTGTTATCAAAATCTTACGATTCACGATAGGATTTGCAATTTTTGCAAAATCGATACGAATTTATAGATGAATTGCACAATTCATAAGATTCGATCACTTTTTACAATTAATGTAATTTGAAACTATCATGCCCGACACATTTTGATTCTTTTTTTTTTCCCCTTCAATTTTTTAGTGAAAATGACATAATACAACTTCTAATAGTATTTAGTACGAAAATAGCTAATGTATATACGTGATTTGTTATTTTTGGTAATCAGAGAGTTTTTAGTAAGATCCAATTAGATTTAGTTAGACCAAACATGTTTTTAACCTTTTCTTTTCATTTTTTTTCTTTTAAAAAATCATAATATATTTTCTAAACATGTTGTTGTAATTTGCACCATGAATTATGTGTTGCTATTTTATTGAAATAAATATAGTTCAATTTTTCAATATTACATGGTGAGGTTAGTTAAACCTAATAATTCCATAAGTTCTTTTTATTTTTTATTTTTAATCTTATTTTCTTAAGTTGTGTTTTTGAAAAATAAGCATGTATACCTTTTAAAGTGTTTTAGGTTTTAAAATAAAGGATTTAAATTAATTCTTTCTTATGATTGGATCGTTGTTATTTGGAAATGTATGCATGCTTATTTTGTCCAAATATCAACATCGTTATTAAGTTATTGTTGCTTTGAAATAGTGAGTTTGTCTTTTGTTTAGTTCTTTTGTTTTTATTCTTTTTATTTATTAAGAATGATTAATAAGAAATATCTAAAAGAGGGAAATTGTACAATGGTGATCTTGCATGGATATCCGTGTTAACTTATTACCTACTAGACCACGTGATCATAATTCAAAACAATATTTTCATTGATTTAAGTCTAAATATTTCATATTTATAAGATATATCTAACATCTAAATCTGTATATATATCTTTCTAAGTAATCTCTACTACTTTAAAAAATACAAAGATATCTAAATTTTTCTACTCTTTTTTTTTTTTCTTTTTGAAAATGCCCCTCTATTCATCAATTAGTTGCTTAAGTTTAAGGGACGATTTGTAATTGGCACTACTAGTACAACTATTACCAACAACTGCAATGTTTAGTAGAGAAGTTTCCAATTGCAATCATATATTTTCCACTAATTGCACAAACCTTAGAAGTGGAAGACACCGACTCTGAAATTTGATTAAACAGAGACAATTAAAGAACTGTTTTTATCCCAAAATTTTTCAAGTGAGAATTAAGATGAAACTTTGATAACAGGTGCACTTTTTCTATTTTAGAAACTTTGTTCTTTTGGATGGATTTTGATGTTAATTGAAATTTTGTTTGAACTTTTTATTTTATTTTAAAATTAATTAATTAATTTTTTTTAAAGTTTGTTTAGCATGAAATGGATGGGAACTATAAGAAAATTATTTTTTCTGTACAACTCATATTAACATTAACATAGTAATTAAAATTTTAATTTCTTACAAAAAATGAAGCATGGAAACTCAAAAATCGGTGTCGTGGTAGTGTCTGACATGTGGACACGCCGGGAACATGTACGGGACACACCAGATGGCGTGTCCCTTTAATTTAATGAATTTTTTGTAGGGGACATGCGTGTCCATATCTTAGTTGCAGGAATCGTAAAGGAGGGAGGGAGAGAGGGAGGGAGGGGGAGGGAGAGAGAGAGAGAGAGAGAGAGAGAGAGAGAGAGAGAGAGAGAAACTTGGATCTGCTTCGATCTGCTCGCCATCTGCTCTCGCCTTCGATCTTTTCGGATGTCGACCTTCGCCTTCGTCTTCGTCTTCGTCTTCGTCTTCGTCTTCGTCTTCGTGTTCGTCTTGTTCTCTCTCTCGCTCTCTCTCTGTTCTGTTTTTAGAAGTCATTTGGCTTTGATCTCCAAACACTGACTGACCCTAGACAGCCCTAGTTCTTAACATATAATAAATAATATAATTTGTTATATAATAATAAATCTAATTAAATCATATATAATAATAAAAAATCTAATAAAATCTATAAAATAAACCATTCAATTTTTATTTTTATTTATTTTAACATATTTTATTATTTATAATATATATATATATATCAATTAAAAATAAAAAAATAAATTATATAAATAAATTAAAAATATTATTAATAAAAATAATACCTAAGATAAAAATAATAAATATATGTAAAAATAACTATTTAACTCATCTTGGAGGTGCAAACGAAGAACTTGAAAATTTTGAAAATTAAACTTCCAGCTTGAGTACCTTTTTTGTATTCCAATTCAGATAATGAAAGCTTTTCTCCCACCTATACCTATTCTGTTTCTAATTTTTAAACACATGAAGAAACTCACGTGCAAGGCACGTGCACCATTACTAGTTTAAAAAAAGTGATTAGATCTTTATGATTCATGATTCGATTCCATTTGCGATTCGTTGCAAGCCCATTTCGATTCATGATTTAAATCCCAATTTGACATCTACAGATATACTTGACATAAATTCAAATTGATTGTCTAACACTAGTGTTGTAACTCCTATACTCAATCACTCTCCCACAAATTCATTGAATCATCAACTTAGTACCTCTATAATTCTTGCTGCCTTTATTAGTTCTTTTTTGAAACCAACAATATGCTTTTATCTGTGCACACCATATTTTTACTTCAAAATTGCTTTACTGTGTAAACATGTGATTTTGATCATTTATTCAAATTTATGTATTCAGTTATATGAGTCCATGGGCAATTAACATTCTATACTTCTTTAATGTTATCGGTGAATATAATTTTTATTCATACTATTTGATCAAAATTTATGGCCTTTTCCTTTATTTAAAACCATTTGTTGCATGTTTGCTTGTTTTGGCCATGCTATGATATTTGATTTTCTGCGAATGTTTTTTGGACTGTACAGGCGTCAAACACAATTTGTGGGCATTCCAGGAGTTTTGTGTCCAACATGGACACAGACACCTTCTAAAAATCATAGTGTAGACATGTTTTCCTATCATCACATCACGTTAGCTTGCATGGATACTTCAGCAATAGTGATTCTCTCTCTATGGAGAATTTGGTGGGCCGCAAAAGTGGTAGCTGATTTGGTGTAGTTGTTCAAATTATTGTTCACGAAATCTAAAATTAGTAGAAGAGTATGTTCTTGAAATCATCCACCTCTTTATCTTCCTTGCTGCAACCTGCAATTGTTTTATGGTGGCAGGTGGTTCTTACTGCCCTAGGAAACATGGATACGTGACACGCTAACACGTAAATTTTCAAAAAATGTGGTGGGACATGACACGTGTGGGACACATGTAAAACATATAATATTTATTTATTTATATGTTATATACAAGGATAAACATTTATTATATGTCACGTATAATGCTACTATTTGATTCAAAACAATAACAAAATGCTACGTAACACTAATTTCTAAACTCTAAAGAAGTAGAATAGGTATAAATTTACTTTGTTTTTCTGTTATCATTAGATTTCAAGTTATTTTATTTCAAAGTTGTATTGTATCTCATGTGTCTAAGCGATATGCGTGTTCCTCTTCTCCAAGTTTCTAAAGCGTGTTGAAGTCTAGAAAGTTTTAATAATAATGGGACATATTTTGAAGCATGTCTAACAAGGGTTGAGAATTGTCTGATGAATGTCGTGTCGTGTTAGTGTTTGACACGGTTTCGAACATGACACACACCCTTCTTAAAAGTGTTTGTGTTTCTTAGGTACTACCAAATTTGTTTATGATAGTGGGGTTGCTGAGGCACGACTTCAGTTCAAACTAAACTCCTAATATTAAGCAATCACTTGCAAGTTTAATTGGCAAAATGAAAAGGCTTGTCAATTCATTTCTGATCACTAAATACTCTTTTTCTTTTTTTTTGATCAACAACAAAAGAAGAAAAATTTTATTAAAAGAGAGAAAAGAGAAGAAGAAAAATACAAAGGAGGACAAGAAGTCCTCAAAAGCAAAAACCAACAAAAACTAAGAAACACACACGGTGTAATATTTTTGGGCCTCAGTTGCTCCCCCGTTTCGGGGAATCCCGCTTTTGTTAATTTCTAGTGATTGGAAGGCCAATCACTAAATACTCCCATTTGTGTGGTGTGAATTTAAAGAGTCAGCATCATTGGGTGTAATATTTGTCTGCAAGATGATGATGCCTTATGGTGCTTAAATTTATTTTCATATTAATCTTTTGTTTGCCCTTTCTTTTATTTTCTTTGCGTCCGAAGTTTTTATTGCGCTTAGTTTTACCAACGACAATTCTGTATACATATGCTAACGTTCACTTTCCTTTGTTTCCATGTGTTTTACTATTTCATGGTTAATTGAGGTAAACCTTTTTCTGTAGGATGGTCGCAAGATTAGTGTAGGTGATTGTGCTCTTTTCAAACCGCCCAAGGATTCCCCTGCTTTTATTGGAATAATTCGTTGGCTGTCATTAAACAAAGAAAACAATCTACAGTTGGGTGTGAATTGGCTTTACCGGCCTGTTGAAGTAAAGCTTTGCAAAGGCATCCTGCTGGACGCTGCGCCAAACGAAGTCTTCTATTCCTTTCATAAGGATGAGATTCTTCCTGCTGCATCATTACTCCATCCATGTAAAGTTGCATTCCTTCCTAAAGGTGTTGAACTTCTGTCAGGGATATCCTCATTTGTCTGCCGTCGAGTTTATGATGTTGCAAACAAGTGTTTATGGTGGTTAACTGATCAAGATTATATTGATGTGAGTTTTAGTTACCTTTGTATGTCAGTCCGTGTTTGCTGTGTTCAGTTTTCTATTTTCATTTACTGTGTTGTTGTTTATATCTAATCTTTCTGAATTTCGTTTCATTTTCTTTTTAATTTTTCTGATGGATAGTTTATTTCTATTTTCTATAGGAGCGACAGGAAGAAATAGACAAGCTGTTATATAAAACACGAATAGAGATGCATGCAACAGTGCAGCCTGGTGGCCGTTCTCCAAAACCAATAAATGGTCCTACATCACAGTTAAAACCTGGTTCCGATAATATACAGAGTGCCACTTCCTTCCCTTCTCAAGCCAAGGGGAAGAAAAGGGAGCGGACAGATGGATCTGAGCCTCTCAAACGAGAACGTTCTTTAAAGACGGATGATGATGACTCTTGTCAGTTTAAATCTGAAAGCGCTTTGAAATATGAGATTTCTAAGATAACAGAAAAGGGTGGGCTTGTAGATCAAGAAGGGGTAGAGAAACTAGTTCAACTTATGCAGTCTGATAGATCTGAGAGGAAGATGGAATTGGTTAGCCGGTCAATGCTTGCAGGTGTAATAACAGCTACTGAAAAGTTTGATTGCCTTAATCGGTTTGTTCAGCTCAAGGGTTTGCCTGTGTTAGACGGATGGCTTCAAGATATCCATAAAGGGAAGATCGGTGATGGTAGTCCCAAGGATGGTGATAAATCTGTAGAGGAATTTCTCTTGGTTTTGCTTCGTGCTCTTGATAAGCTGCCTGTAAATCTTCATGCCCTACAGATGTGTAACATTGGCAAATCAGTGAATCATTTACGTTCACATAAAAATGTTGAAATTCAGAGAAAAGCAAGAAGTTTAGTTGACACATGGAAGAAACGTGTTGAGGCTGAAATGAATGTTATTGATGCGAAGTCAGGTTCAACTCAAGCTGTTTCATGGCCTTCCAGATCACGTCTTCCCGAAGTTTCTCATGGTGGGAACCGATATCCTGGTGCGTCTGAGGTTGCTATGAAGAGCTCAGTTACACAGATTTCTGCATCTAAAGCTGCTTCAGTTAAGCCTGTACAGGGTGAGATCACTTTCAAATCCACTTCCTCGTCTCCAGGGACAATGAAATCAGCAGTGTCACCTCCTTCAGGTAAAGATGCTAATCCCAGAATAGTAGTTGGAAGCTCCTCTGATCTTCCTTCAACCACTGCAAGGGAGGAGAGGAGCAGCAGTTCAAGTCAGTCTCTCAACAATGGTCAATCTTGTTCAAGTGACCATGCCAAAACTACGGTTTTCTCAGGAAAGGAAGATGCAAGGAGTTCTACTGCAGGGTCAATGAGTGTGAATAAGATATCTGGTGGTTCTTCTCAACATCAGAGGTCAATCAATGGATTCCCTGGGCCTGCTGTGTCTGGAGGTCAAAGGGAAACTGGGTCTGATGAAGGTGATGGGCCACCTGCCGCTATTCCTGAAGAAGAGCAACGCCAAACTGGTGATGACACTGCTAAATTAGCTGAAGTCTCAAAACCTGCTTCCTCGTTATCAGGGAATGAGTTGAAATCTGGGAAATTGCATGAGGCTTCTTTCAGCTCTATAAATGCTTTAATTGAAAGTTGTGCCAGATACTCTGAAGCAATTGCGTCTATGTCAGCTGTAGATGATGTCGGAATGAATCTGCTCGCTAGTGTTGCAGCTGGAGAAATGTCCAAGTCCGATTTGATATCACCAACTGATTCTGCAGGAAAAAACACACCTATGGTTGAGCACTCTTGCTTGGGAGATGATGCCAAATCAAAATCATCACAGCAAAGTCAGTCTGCAGATGGTGCTGTTGGTGACGTAGAGAAGCAGGGTCTGATTGCTGGTGCTTCATTGTCTAGGGATGGGTTACATCATCTATCTAAACAGGCCTCTGGCGACATCTCTGGAGATTGGAAAACCACTTCTTCCATACCTGAGCATACACCAGTAGGAGAGAGGAATGAATATAATTCTTCCAATTTGGATTTGGAACCAGCTGCAGAAGCTCGCCCGGAGAAAAATGGAAGACCGGATGAAATTAGGGGTGCTGCTTCTGTGGCTCTTTCTCCAGCCAGTGCAGCAGTGAAGGTAGATGGTGAAGAAAGTAAACAGCTTGATGTCAAGGTGTCAACCATCATCAGTGCAAGAATTCAGGATGCTAAGCCGAACAGAAGCTGTTCTTTGTTGATGGATGATAAGGTCAATGAAGCCCTTTCATGTGTAAAAGTTGAGAAAGAAGTTGTTGGAGGTTCATCATCACATGCATCATTAGAAATCGGCAGTGAGAACAAAAATAATATGAATGAAGGATTTAATGGTGTTGATCACCCAGAGCAGAAACCACCTCCAGCGAAGGTGAAGTCTGAGCATTTAGAAAGAGGTGATGCGGAACTGCTACATACTTCTGGTTCTAGTAAAGACCTCCCTTCAGAAAATGTCGATGAACTAAAGAGTGGAAAAGCTGACGAAATGGACACCAGAAGTCATGGTAGTCATGCTGGAAAACAAAATATTCATCATGGTACCAACAGTGGTCCAACTCATCAAAATCAAGTTTCAGCTACTCTGGGATCAGTTGCTAGTGATCAGAAGAGTAAGGGCATGGATACAAATGTCGAGAGTAAAGATGTTCTCAAGCAGTGTTCTGGTGGAGCAGTTCCTCAAAAGGAGTCACGGGGATCCAAGGTGACTGATGTTGAGGCAGGAGAAACAGAGGACAGTGCATCCACCGCAGCTGATGCTTCTTCTATCCCTGCTACTGGGGCATCAGCCACGGATACAAAGCTAAAGTTTGATCTAAACGAAGGATTTTTTGCAGATGAAGGAAAATATGGGGAACCCATCAACTTGGCTGGTCCTGGATGTTCAACTTCTCATTTGATTAGCCTGTTGCCTTTTCCTGTTTCATCTGTATCCAGCAGCCTTCCTGCTTCCATTACAGTGGCTGCTGCTGCAAAAGGACCCTTTGTTCCTCTGGAGGATCTGTTGAGAAGTAAAGGGGAGCTTGGATGGAAGGGATCTGCTGCTACAAGTGCATTTCGGCCTGGAACCCAGGAAGTTTCTGGAGATGCCACTGGGTACTACTAGTATCCCTCTTCCTGATGCTACTGCGGGCAAACATGGTCCACCTCGGTTAGATATTGATCTGAATGTGCCCGATGAAAGAATTCTCGAGGACATGGCATCTCGAAGCTCTACTCAGGAGACAGCTTCTACATCTGACCATATAAGTAACCGTGGAATGGCACAAAATGATCCAATGGGTTCTGCACCCATTCGTAGTTTTGGAGGTCTTGATCTGGATTTGAATCTAGTTGATGAGGCTAATGATATGGGGCAGTACTCAAGGAGCACCAATCGTAGACTGGAGGCCCCACTTCTGACAGTTAAGTCGTCATCATCGGGTGGATTTTCTAATTGTGAGATAAGGAGGGACTTTGATCTAAACAATGGGCCTGCCTTTGATGAAGCAAGTGCTGAACCATCCCCTTTTAACCTGCATGCCAGAAGCAGCATGCAAGCCCAGCCTCCTTTTGCTGGCGTCAGAATGAATAATGCAGAAATGGGAACTCTCTCATCGTGGTTTCCAACTGGGAACACTTACTCTGCTGTTGCAATTCCATCGATATTGTCTGATAGAGGGGAGCTGCCCTTTCCAATTGTTGCAACTGGTGGGCCGCAAAGAATGTTGGGACCCCCTACTGGTGGGACCCCATTTACTCCAGATGTTTACCGGGGTTCGGTGTTGTCATCTTCTTCTGCAGTGTCCTTCCCTTCTACTCCCTTCCAGTATCCTGTCTTCCCATTTGGGACTAGTTTTCCTCTGTCCTCCGCCAATTTCTCAGGTGGATCTACAACTTATGTGGATTCCCCTTCTGGTGGTAGGTTTTGCTTCCCTGCCGGAAATTCCCAGTTATTAGGCCCTGCTGCTACAGTTTCATCCCAGTATCCAAGGCCATATGTTGTTAGCCTTCCTCCCGATGGTAGCAATAATATTGGTGTTGATAACAGTAGAAAATGGGCTAGGCAGGGTCTCGACCTCAATGCTGGCCCTGTAAGTATAGACATAGAAGGCAGAGAAGAAACATTACCTCTTGCATCGAGGCAACTTTCTGTTGCCAGTTCACAGGTGCTAGCAGAGGAGCAAGCAAGGATGTACCAGCAGCTGGCGGGTGGTGTTCCAAAGAGGAAGGAGCCGGAGGGAGGGTGGGATACTGAGAGCTTTAGGTACAAGCAATCCTCATGGCAGTAAGGATGCGTTATACACAGCCTAGTGACCTGTTCAAGGCTTTGATGCCTGGTGAGTTTTACTGTGCATGTATTGTCTGATTCATTATGCGCAAAAGTGAAGATGACTTTGATTGCAGACTGTTCGTTTGCAATAGTTTTTTGTAGGATGGAGTTTTGTAGTTTTTTTATTTTTGCAGTTGAATAAATGGGTGTGAGAGAAAAAGTGATTGATTGATGTGTAGGATGTCGGAGAATGAAAGAGAGAGAAAAAAATGATTCATTGATGTGTAGGATGTGAGAGGAGTGAGGAGATAGAAAAAGTGATTGAAAACAGTTTTGAGAATATTGTATACCAAACAAATTTTGGATTTTGAGCTCTCAAAAATTGTTTTAAAAAACTCAACCAGACATGGCCTTGATGTCTGGATTCTGTCATCAGATCTGCTATCTAATTTGCTATAATGTCTTTTTTATGTTGAACATAACTGCCAAAAGTATTTTCTGCTTTTGTTCAATATTTTTATTTTTGAAAATGAGTCGTAGTGTTGTAAAATGATTACGTCACATACTAAAAATAATATTCTGTTTTGGTTTCTCTTAGTTTGCTCCACACTTTGGGTGTAAATGTTCATAAATGATGAGATTTTTCTCACATTTCTTTGCTTTGTCTCTTCATGGGAAATTGACAACTTTAGACGCCCATGACATTTACTTGCTCCATCTCTTTATGGTAAATATTGAAGTGTTTCTTGAAACCTTCCATTTGCCTTGAAGCATTTACTGTTTGAATTCAGCTGGTCTGTTGTTCCCTTTGGTGCTCATCTGTCATCAACATATTTGTTTAGATTATGCGCTTCTCCCTTTGTATTCGTCAATAATTGTTTTGGGTGCTTGTATATGGGTTATATAAACTGCTAAAATCTTGTGGTTTTTTTTTTTTTTTTTTTTGCAAATTATGTTTTGCACCATTTAACTTTGTCTTGGTTTTGTTTTGATTTTGTCCCAGGTGGGCAATGGCTAACTCCTGGAAATTGCCCAACTGGTGTTCTCTAAGAGAGTGATGGGCGGTAAGCGAGTTATTTCATGTTTTCATAGTCTCCAACCTCCCCCAACCTCTTTTAGTGCATCAGATGTGCTGTAAAGGTTTCCGTCATGGGGTCTGGCAAGCTCTTGGTTTTAGTGTTCTTTTTTTTATTTTTTCTGGGCGGCTGCAGATAATTTCCTGTTTGTAGATATGTTTTTAACTGCTGGACAATGCACTCGGTGTTCCCCAAACACTCGGAAATTCGGTGTCTATATTCCATGAGACCCAACAACACCATGTCCAATCCAAATGCCTCTGGTAGTGGAGGTTGGATTCCTACACCGCTTCAAGCAAACACCCTTTTGTGCTTTGCTGTTAATTTATCTTTCTTTGCCGCCTTTTTCTTTTCTTTTCCTTTTTTCGTTACATGTTACATAAAAGCAGGTTGGCCGCTGAATTTTGGTACTTTTGAGCTTTTTATTGATCTGGCATGGTTTAGTTGGTATTGCTGCTGTTGTATCTTAATTTGATTTTACCCCTTTAAACGTAGTCGTAGTCTCATTTGCTACCATGAGTTTTGTGTGTGCAGTCATTCTGTTCACATTGCAAAACAAAATATGTGATTCATTGATTTATATTAGGGTTGTTTATTTGAAATTTTAGGAAAACTGATTGCCAGGAGAGGAGAGATAGATTGTTAGCAATCGAAAGATTAACGTGCTTTTTGGATCATAGATTTGGATAAGTATTTAAAAAGAAAAACAAAAAAGAAAATAAGTTGTTTATATTTTATTTATATTTTACTCTTTTTATTAAACAAAAAAATTTTTTTACTAAAATTTGTAAGGATAAATTATTAATAGGTTTTAATAGTTAAATTTAATTATCAATGGTATTTAAAATGGACGATTAATTACTTTTTTGTCACGATTTTTATAAATTGTCGTTAAAATTTGTAGTTAGTGATATTTTTTGTGATAAATTTTTTCAATTGTTGTTAAAAGTTGGTGACTTCTATGTGACATTTATTTAAACTATTGTTAAAATTTATAATTAGTGATTTTTTGTGATAATTTTTTAACTGTTGTTGAAAATTAATAATTAGTGAAACTTTTTAATAGTGTTGAATGAAAAACGTTATTAATTATCATAATTTATCAAAGAATAAATTCACCTATTAAGATTTATATTTAAGTGCTCCAAATTCATAACTCAATCACAATCTAAAGCATTTGAGTTAATGGGGTGAAATGATCCTCATTTGGTGAGCAAACGAGCCTCCATTTGAATCACGAGGCCTAGTGAGAAGAAATTGTTCTCATTTTTTTTCTTGTTTAGAAGAATAGTTAGGGACACGTTTTTTATTATTATTTTGTATTTAGGAGTACAATTTGGGATTATAATTTTTTTGGTAAATTACACTGACGTCATCTGAGATTTTTATTTAATGCAAATTGTTTTTCATATTTGAAAAATTAAACTTATTTCCTTGTCAAATTAAAATGATATATTTGTCCTTAGCCTTTATATGTATAAAATAATAAAATCATACAGATATTTTGTTTATGTCATTTCAAGAGAAATAACAATCATTTTCTTAGTTTAAGTTATACAAAAAATTGATTTTTTATTTTATTTTATATTTTTAGTAAGTTTTTTTAATATTTAAAGTATTTTTTTAATTTTTTTTTTCGATACACCTAATATATATTTAAGAAGTATAATATTTTATGATTTTTTTTAAATTCACCAAATACAATATATATATATAAATACAAAAATTGAATGCATTATCTTATTTTGTTGTATTCAATGAATTTTTTAAAAGTTCTTTGTACAAATTTTATATTTGTTAAATATATCTAGATTAAATTAATCTAATTTAGATATAATGGTAGAAATAAAAAAAATTATATTTATATATAAAAATTTATACAAAAAAAATCATAAAAATGTTGTGATAGTGATATTGTTGTAAATATAAATAATATTTATGGGTGTTTTGTTTTAAAGTGAAATGTCACTATTAGGCTATATCATTGTATTTAAAAATTCTATATATTATGTTTGTATATTATCACTCAATAAGAATATATTTAGGTTAAATTTAATAATGAAAAGTTGTATAATGTAATTATTATGATAGGAAAAAGAAATGGCAAGAAAAAGAACGAGATGATCATTTAAAAAATTTTAGGATATGACATTAGCAATTAAGTAAATATTGATAATAAGATTATAAATTTCAAGGAGGAAAATGTGATTTTTTAAATATGAGAACATTTATATTAAACAAAAATCTCAGGAGTGCCAGTGTAATTTATCCTATTTTTTTTTTTTATTATCAATGGTTTTATTTTATTACCAAATCTGAGATATAACTATTAGGTTCTTCCAAATGAACAATGAAAACAAACCCAAATCAGAGAACCAAAGTCATGGTTTTGATTAGAAGTCCCTTTCGGTTTTAACTCAAGAAAACAAACCCAAATCTAATTTCGATTGGCAAAATCTAATTTCTTCTTCTAATTTCTTTGCTCTATGACAGAGTCACTCTGTTCATCCTCTTCACTACACTCTTTATTTCTTTTTCTCAATCAAATCTGGGTTTAGGTTTGAAAACTAACGAAGGAAGATGAGGAGACAATATATATGTGTCTATAATATATATAATCTAATAATTTAATAATGTTAACAAGTATAATAAATTATTAACCTTAATTAATTAATTTTATCATCTTTATAACCTAAGTTTGTAAACTCTTATTATATATAATTTTAACTTTAACTCATTCTTAAAACTTTAGTATTTTTGAACTTTATTTTAATTTTAATTTTTGTTAATATAAGAATTGAAAAATATTTATTAAATGGATGGATTAGATATGTTTCAAATAGTAGACAAATAATTAATTTAATATTTTTATATAGATTAGTAATTATATTTAAAAATGGATCAAGTTTGAAAAGTTCTAGATCGATTAAACCGCACTGAACTGAACTGTTTCAACTAGTTCGGTTTGGCATGGTTTAATAGGAGAAATGATCTGTATCAATATTCAAAATAATAAAACAATTATTATTGGTTTAGTAAAATTTTTTACTTAAATACTGACCGTACCGAATCGATTACATCCATTACCTTTAATTATCCAAGCAAGTTATGAGAGATTTCTCCTTTTCCATTTCTTCTGTTTTCTTTTCTCATTAAATCCTACAATTCAAATTGTTAAATCCTACAAATCAAATTGCTAAACTGTGTTCAGATTATAAATTTGAATAGTGATTTAAAAATGAAAAGAGAAAATGTACAGAAAATATAAATGAAATACAAAAAAAGTTCTCTCTATTTTCATTTTGCTTTTTAATTTTCTATCTAAATTCATAATCTAAACAGTGACATAAAATAGCCTAGATGATTACAGATTTCCATAATACCCAGTTACCAACACTGATCTGCGGTTGCACCTTTTTATTTTATTTTTTTAATTTTATGTTTTGATACATGTAGGAAGTGAATATCAATGAAATTCATCCAGTAATATACAGCAGGTAATACACATCTACCATGGAAGTGAGGAAACACTTCCCAATCATCCAGCATGCAAGTTATTTAAAATAGACTCTTTTTTTATTTATTTTTATTTTTTCTTATGGGAGGAAAACTAAAACATGCATAAAGCAATATTACACCACCATTATGTTACTAGAAATGTTTCGATGTGCAATGCACACCGTATGCAACCTTAATATAAAATTGCGTAAATTGTACATAATTTTACATAAATAATCTCACAAAAATACGTAAATTAAACACAAACTAACGTAATTTTGTAGTAGAGTTACATACGATGTGCATTATTGCACACGAGAATTTTCCTTCATGTTACACCTAAAATTAGCAGTTTCGGAAGGAAACTGCTTTTGTTGCCTTGTCTGCACTACAACCTGCCTTGCTACCTTTATAACTAAAAACATGCCTTATTCACATCCCTGGGAGCAGTTTTCCAGCTTTTGTAAAAGCAAAAATCAGACCAAATGAATCTCATCATCCTGCCACGCAAAGAAAAGTTTGCGCTGCAATTTTGTAGTTTAAGAAAAGCCCAAATAACATGTCACTTTGTTTGTTTTTACAATGAATTAGTGAAGAAAAACTAGCATTAAAAACATATATATATATATATATATATATATTCACTCCTTCCACTCATTAACATACAATTCAAAGCTGAAAATGTCACATTGCTCTTAAATAGTAAATAAAAAAATAAAAATAAAAAACAAAATCAATAACAAGGCAAAAACAGCCATGATGGAAGTGATAGTATGGCTGCTTGATAGTATATCTACTGCTCTCTACCAAGCCCAGTGAGCACGGAAGTAATGAATTCAGAGGCACCTGATACTCAGTGATAGATTAGAGATCATCCAAGTGTATACCTTGACCTGGCGGGACATGTGAAGATGAACTCTAATTTCTCAATATCAGAAGACAAATTTCATTTTAGACACTCAAGGCTCCTCCCGCAGAAAACATTTCTGTAATTGAAATAAAAAAGACGAGTTAATAAACATGTAATAGCATAAGACTCATGGCATATGCATAGGGAAAATTAAAAAAAATATATACTGTCCCTAGAGAAACTGAAAAAACCAAGACTCTCATACACAAGAAAAAGGAAGAGGCAAATCATGATGATAATCATTTCACAAATGATTACTATACAAATCTAAACATAAACCAAACCAAACCATGCCTTAAGTCCCATCAAATGGGGTCGGCTGCAACTATACAATTAAGAAAAAATATCTATACACATTGTAATGATAAGTTGTTCTGTACAAGAAATGAAGAATGAAAGCCTCAAAATATATAGAGTAGCATATCAAAATTTTTAAATTTTCAAAATGACATCTTCGAAAATTTTCAACATTTAATCCATCCAATACGGGGCTGCTTTAGGAGAGTGGTAAAAGACGCCTTTTAGTTTGCGAAGGGTGGTGCTTTCAAAGAACTGCAAACTCCATTTCCACTCTACTTGTGAAGAAATTCTTGCAGTTCAAAGAGGCATAGAAAATTTCCAATTTTATTTCATTGGTCAATCATTTCTTGATTGAAACGCATACGTCCTATTATTTTGGGAACAGTTCTAGTGTGATGGCCCACACAAACACAAAGTGGTTGTCCTCATACTTAAAAAGTTTACTAAAATAGGGAAGGCACTATGCAGGTTATTCACATGGACTACGGTCAATTTTTTTGTGAGGAATGAATGTGGTTGCGCTAGCAAGCACTAATGAAACAGCTAGCAAGTCAAAAAATAAAAAAAAGGGAATAGAACAGTTGACAAGAACTCATCCTAAAGAAGGAAAAAAAGAGGCATACCTGGCCCTGACAAGAAGACAAATGAAACATACAAGAAGAATGGCAATAAATATGCAAAAATAAATGGTGATACTAGTAAATGCCAAAATTACCATCATGAGATAATCAAGTGAGTTACAATACCAAAGCAAATAAACTAGAAGCAATAGTCTAAATAAATTAAGCAAGACTCAGAGCATAGGGCATATTGTTACTGACACTAAACATCCTTGACGTTGCTTTTTCTTCTTCTCCTTCTGTTTTTGTGGCGGCTTGATAACTACCTTGATTGCAGCATCAAAAACTGCTTTCACGTTCTGTAATTGCACAGCAAAAGAAATGGTCTTTTACAATATAATCTGCATAAGCCATATAATAGTAGACAACATTTCTTGAAACAATAACTAGATAGGCGAGAGAATATGACAAGGCATAGCCCTTGTTCACAGAGTAAGATAACTCCGAAGACTATAAAAGAAAAATATAAACAAGTAAGTGCTGGATGGTAATTTCTTTCTCAAATTCAATAGAATCTCCTGCTAAGCACAGAAGTCTCTTGGAGACCACAAACATCCATCCTTGTAGATTTTGTTTCATCTTTTTGTGGCTTGTCGAACTCCAATGAACCCCCACTTGCAAAAAAGAACATTCCCAAGAGGCAGTAAAGAAGAAGATAGGAAGCATTTGATATGTGTCGTCTCTTGAGTTTGCTTGATGCTGACAGATTTCCAAGTAGTTACATTTATAAAGTACAAGGAACTACTTGCATTGCAAAATTGCAAAAAAAGCAAAAAATAATAAAAAATATATAAATAAATAAATTTTGCTAGTACCTGTTGAGTTTTGGAGCTGCATTCAATATAATATGTAGCACCAATCTGTTTACGTAGCTCCTCTCCCTGATTGTGCAAAAACCACCATCAGCATAATCTATGATCAAATAATTAAGCCAAGAGAAAAGATATGATAATAAAAAGAAATCACCTGTGCAGTAGTCACAGGCACCAATCCAGGATGATCAGCCAAATAGTGCTTATCATCACGAAGGTCTGTTGTCCAATTGAGCAGTGCAATATATAAAAAACAGTGCCAGGCAAAGGCCATCATAAAATACCACATGATACTATAAACGAGTATATCTGCTTTTGATCGCCATTGTAAAATAATGGAATTTCTTGTGTAGAAACATGGCTATGAAATACAGAATAATGGCGGTGTAAAATAAAATCTTTTAGGATGAATGCAATAAGCAAGTTTACAACACGAGGTTCATTTTTCATTTTAAAAAATGAAAAAGAAAGATCCTGATTTTATTTTCAGCAGTTAGAAAGAGCAATTCCTCCGAATTCAATAACATCAAGCAATCAAAAGCAAGTGAGAGAGAGAGAGAGAGAGCGAGAGAGAAGAAATGACACATAATTATCGCCATGTAAATAGCAAAACAGTCCATTTGAGATAATGCATACTTGTAATTAATTACCCGAGATCTTATTTTCACTAAATGATCCATCAGATAGTAATTTTGAAAACCACAAAACACAATAAAAAAAAAGAGAGATGAAGAAGAAGAAGACGTCATGAACAAAAGCTATACAGCTTTGTGATGGGTATTTACCATTTTCTAGAAACTCCTCTTTTAATAAGTTTTTGTTTGAGTACTACAAAAACCTTTCTTTAAAAGGAAATTGAGAAAGGAGAAAAATTAAGAACTTTATGATCAAGAAATCCAATTCTTTTAGATAATTATAGGCCCAATCTCGTGTACCTTAAGTTAGAAATAATCAAATCAAAAAGAACAAAAACGAACAAAAGAGAAAAAAGAAAAAAGTACCACCAACCACTATTTCCTGGAAGAATAAATGGCATTTTAGAACTCATCCGAATTAGAGACATTAATTGAACCTCATTTTACTGCATATTTTTCTGTCTTTGCAGATTTTCTCTCATAGCTTTGACGATTGTTATATTTAAAATTTGGTTAAGAAATATGACACAAGAAGCTGCAGGAGTTCCCATTCATCAACATGCAATTTCCCCTATATTTTTGGGATGGGAACATACTATTACACGTGTGATCAACTGGAACCCAACTGTATGCTACAAGTCAATGAATGTCCTGTAATATCTTGAAAGGGAAACCATCAGTTGGTATTTAAAAACTCAATGTTGAACACAAACAAGAGAAGTTCGAACAAAAAAACATGAAATTATGTAGCTTCTTCAAGTTTGAAAATTGAAGTTGGATAGTTTTTATTTATTTATTTTTTATTGATTTACCTCATTAACTTGTGAGTTTTTATGCCCGTAATTATATGGTTGAAACACCCCATCTACATTAATCAGAATGTGAATTGTTTACAACACAATACACCGCATCCTCTAGAATGTTGGATACGCATGTGTATCAATTACACAGTTGGACATTGTCAGATGTTTCTAAAGGTGAGGTCATTTTCTTTAAAAAGTAATTGATTAATGTGCAGACTGTATTTTCTTTCGATTACATTATCTTGGGATTAACCATGCAAAGCATAGAACATATGCTTAGCTTTGAGTTGTTGATGGACCAGGGCCCTATCGTCAATCTTCTCTTGAAAGAGCAATAACTTCATAGATTGCATTTATTGTTTTCTAGTGTTTCACAACATTTAAGGAAAGAAGAAGAAGAGGGAAGAATAGACAAAAAGAAGAAGAAGGATAAATGGCTTCATTTGGTATTGTGGAATGAAGATGTAATAAACATATATATACACATAATGTTATACATGTATAATCCTAGAAGTGCAAATCATTGAAATCAATATAGTATTAGCATTTATAGGTAACAATGCACCCACTTACGCTCAAATATTAGATTTTTGCACATAATGTGGTAACATGCTCAAATACTCATCATTCCTGGACTCTTACAACCTAATGCTGAAATGACAACTTGAATAGATTTAAGTGACAATCTTTTGAATCAAGTTTTATGGATCACGATATCTAAAATTTATCAGAAGAAATAATTCTTTTTTATTTTGTATATGTGTGTTCATGTATATATACTAGAGGTGTGGGCCCACATTAAGTGTGCGTGAAGAAGGTTAGATAAATTATGTTTGTTACTAAATTTGAAGCAATTAACTCTTAAAAGGGGTATTTTATGTATAGCAAAAATCATGACAAAGCTTTAAAGAGTTGTGTCCTTTATATAAGTATAGATAGTATAGATATACATATATATATATGTTAGAATTTACCATACCCCACTCCACCTACCACCTCCACTATCCCTTCACCTACTACCTTCTTCTCTTCTATATATGAATCATTGTAAACAGAATGAACAATCACCTACTCCACTAAACCTAACCCACTACACCACTACCACCTACACTTCACCTACTCCTTACCTACTACACACTCACCCTCTTCTATATATATAGGAATCATGAATCATTGTAATTGAAATCAACTACAACATTATATCAATCAATAATACAATTCTCTATTTCTCTTTATACATTAAATTTCTAATATATATATATATATATATATTACATCTACATGGATGCAATCTTTTTAAAGACAAAAATTGAATTCCTAACCCTACTTTTGCCTTTTTAATTACCATCCCCACACTTCACCACTATGTTATAACGGCTTTAGCTTCGAGGCTCACATTTTTTAATCCCGAAAATATATTTATTAGAAAAAGAAAGTATTTGTTGATGCCATCTGTTTCCAATGAACAAGACACGTGCGTTTATGAAAGATATTAGAGAGACAGACAAAGCATAAAAAGGCTGTCCAAAATCCAAATCTAGCACCAACGATGATTTGTCTAGGAATCCCAAGACTGCATGAAGACCTAGGAATTTGAAAACTTCTAGCTGTGCAGCTATGGAAACTCAAGGAAATACTAGCTCATTGTGCATAACTACAAAGGTGCCACCTGAACAAGCATAACTAGAACAGATTGCCAATGACCCATTCCTAGCTCTGCAGAAGTCACTGAAAGACTAGCTCATTATACAAACCCAGGAAGGTTTGAACTGAACATGCACAAAAGGTGTAGTTTGCTACCACCCTCTACAAATAAATTTGGGAAAACTACATGACACTATCTGTAACACCGAAATCACACTGTCACCCTCTGTCAGCTAACACCATTTAATATAATGGTAAATTTAATATAATATCTTTGTTTGATTAGTTAATTTTCAACTAATAAATCAGAGATATAATTACTGAGATATGAGAGAGAAAAACATAGAGAGGAGAGAGAGAAAAGATTGAACCCCTTGCTGATCACCATTATTACAAGCCAAACCTCAGCACCCACCACCCATCTCCAACACCACTATGCTGCGAGACCACTCTCACTCATTTGAACCCCTCCAGACCGCCCTTGCCACCCAAACAGCCCACAGCAACACCCAACCACCATACCTACCCACCTACTACCTAAACTAGCCATGAACATCACCACAAACCCATCCACCACCACCCAAACTCAACTCAATTGATGCACAATTTGAACACACCCACAAAATCAAATGCATAAATCAAACCCTATTTGAGGATTTAGAGAGAACGGGGTAGGGGAGGGAGAGAGAGAGAGAGAGAGAGAGCGAGCGCTTGAGTGACTAATTGCACACGAGACAATGTCATTGAACCACCAACACAGTAGCAAGGCAGTAACATTAGCCAGATAGTGCACCACCACCATGCTCCTGCTATTGCCCAACAACACCGTTCATTGTTTGCAATTGCAATAGCACATCACCAACACTATCTATCGATCGCCACTACATCGCACCACTCGTTCCTTGAATGCCACTGAATCGCACACACCGTCTCTCGCGCACTGCCACTAGTGCGCCAACTTCTTCTCTCTAATCGACCCCCTTCCGCTCTGATCTCCTCTTCCTCTCCAAGCTTTCTCTCTAATTTCTACTGCAAATCAAAAATTTTCTTTTCAAATCATTATCAGATTTGGATCTACAGTTTGTTTCTTTTGTGATAGTGTTGGGTTTTCATGGCTACAAGTGGCAATTTCTAGTGTTTGGGTTGGATTTGGGTATGTTTTTGGTGTTTGGTGTGATAGAAATAGGTTTTGTGTTGGTTACTGGTAGCGGGTTTTTGGCGTTTACTCCTTACAAACACGTTGGTCTACAATACATAATCATACAATCCCATATTAAGTATCCATTATTTTATCTTCAATTTTGGGTCACTTCTGACTTCTCCGTATTGAATTTATTTCTTAGTAACACCACTAGTCCATCTCAACATTCTCATTTTAGCTACATTCATTTTTTGAACATGTTTTTTAACGGCTCAACATTTTGTACAATACATCATAGTAGGTCCTCAATAGTCCTATAAAATTCTTCTTTTAGCTTAATAACAATTCTATAATCACACAATGCTCCTAATAAAATCCCTCATTTCATCTATCACGCTCAGTGTTTTTAAAGACTCAAGGCGCACTAAGGCGCCGAAGGTCTCTTCGGGCTTAGGCGCAAGGTGCAAGGTGAGGAGTGGGCTTTATTGAAGTAAGGCACACAATCTCAGTTAAAAATGGGTAAATTAACATAGATTAATGATTCATAGCTTGTAAGTACTACGATAGGATTTTTTTTTTTAAAAAAACAAGTAACTAAAGCAAATTATAGGATAATTTGCAAAGCCATAAAAGTGCATATTACATAGCATTCCAATTTTCAAAGGTAAAATAATCCACATTCAACATTAAAAAAAAAAAAAAGGAATTGAATTAATACTAAAAAAAAATAATGCTTTAAGGAATTACATTTTTTTTTGAAAGTTGACATTAATTTGAAGCTTTTTATAAGTGAAACTATAACTAAATTTATGTAGCTAATTAGTATTTCCAAATTGAAAGTTAAGTGGCAAACAAAGTGGTGTCATATCATCAAATTAAAAATTCCAAGTGCAATATGATGTCACACCTAATGACAGTCTCAACTAAAAAAGAAAATCAATCGTCTCTATTTGATTATAAGAAGAAGAAGAACCCAGCCCAACACATCGAATAAGCAAAAGAAAAAAGAAAAAAAAAAGAAAGGTAGCAAAGAAGAAGTAGACGAAGAAGAAGAGAAGGAGAAGAAGAAGAAGAACTATCTGGTCCAGATAAGACGAGACAAGACAAGCTGAAGGGAAGAGACACTCAGACACCGTAAGGTTTCTTCAGCAAGATTTCTTCTAATGAATCGATTAGGGATTTTCAGTCGTATTTGGGGCTGGGTATTGAGCTATAAAACTCTTGTAATCCTATGCAGTTGGAGCCTTTAAAAAGAGTGATATGAACCGTTAGATTTCGATTAGAAAACAAGAAAAATAAAGCTTCTCTTCGATTGGACAAGTCGCTGTGCCTTCTTCAACTTGCCTCCCCTTGAGTGGCTTAAGGCGCTGCAACTACGCCTCGCTGCACCTTGTGCCTAGGGGTGCCTTTCACAACACTGATCATGAGCATCGCTCCATCCATATGAATAATTAAACCAAGATATCAAAAACAGTCACTCTTAGTATCTACCCATCAAGATTTCCTCTATCTTAGTCCTACTTTACCTAAAACCTCAGGATTCTAAAGCATCTCTCCACAATTCTAGCTTAGAATTTCCTCTTTCTCCTATATATTGTCAATTAAAGCTATATCGTTTGCAAACAAGAAACAATAAGTCATCCTCTTGAATACATTAGTAAGTCCATCACTACTGACATTATCTGATTCAAATAAAGTGGGATACATATGCAAAGAATGCCTTGTCAGCTGTCAGTTTACAATCTATTACAAACAGATAAGTAATTATCATTGGAATGGAAAGACACTCTTATAACTGCCAATAATGCATCCATAAAGTTTTTTTTGCTGCTAACACTAGTGTTGGGTCTGCATATGCTTACTTTTTTTTTCAATTTTTTATTATTACAATGTCCTTAATAAAAATGATAAAGTAGAGGACACAGAGTAAACGAAACTAGATCAGCTCTGTTAGATGGCGTTATGAAAAGAAGAAGAAACAATGAGCCTAATAACAACCAAGAAAAAGAATTACAATAGGCACTTTGAAAGAAAAAAAGATAAATAATAAGTGCTTATTGACTTCTTAACTTACCCAATTTGGTGCCAGCCAGAACTAATGGGACTCCAGGGGCATAATGCTGAAGTTCAGGGATCCACTGTTGAAGAAATTGTGCATCAGAATTTGCAATACCCCTTAAATATCCTACTTTAAGTGATAAAATTTCAACAAACTGTACCTTTTTAAGTATGTTCTCATAGCTTGCACGACTAACTAGTGAGAAAGCTAAGACGAATACATCCGCCCCTCGATAGCTCAAGGGCCTCAATCTGTTGTAATCCTCTTGCCCTATATAGAAAATTAAAACAACATGACAAAATTAAAATAGCCCAATATAGCAAAATATGCTTTGGCTTTGACTCAATTGTCATTAGAACTGTCAAGCTTAACTTAGCAAAAAATATAATGAAAAAATCAAAGTAATTATGAAGGGTAAGCAAAATCTTACCAGCTGTGTCCCAAAGACCTAAGTTGACAGTGGTGCCTTCAACTACTACATTTGCACTAAAGTTGTCAAACACAGTTGGTATGTAGTCCTGATTAATACAAAAGTTTTTAAAATTCAAACAGTAAAAATAAATACCCCACAAGACAACATTCAGAGAGAGAGAGAGAGAGAGAGAGAGAGAGAGTGGAAAACCCTAGAGATGAAAATCGAAAAAGCAAAACCCTCCATCCAAGAAATTTACAGTGGGTGGGGGAGAACTTTCTGAGAGAGGAAATCATGGAGGGACAAAAAGCTGCAAAACCCAGATGGAGAACCCTAGAAAGATGGATATATCTATGAAGGGGAAATGCAGGAACTACAAAATTCAGAAAGATAAAGCAAAACCCTCTACGCAAGATAGGAACTTTTGCGATGTGAAATCATTATGGAAGCACAAAAAGCTGCAAAACCCAGATGCAAAAACGCTTTAAAGTACCATATATATATATATATATATATGATAAACCAGAAAATCATATATATTTATAAGAAACCCAGATGTTTCTTCTTGAAGAAGAAGAAGAAGAAGAAGAAGAAGAAGACACTTACAGTGGGGAATTTATTACTGGTATAGCAAATAAGCATACAAGTCTTGCCAACAGCCCCATCACCCACTGTTACACATTTGATGAACCTTGAAGCACTTGAAGCCATTGAACATAAGGCTCAGAGAGAGATATCAAAGACAAACACAAACACAAACACAAAAAGAAACTTGTTGGTTGTGAGCCTTTTCAAAGTAGAGAGAGGGTGCATAGATGGGTAAAGATCACATGATTCCTACTCATTCACTCTCTACAGTATGGCAATTTGTTGGCACTTCTTTTATGATTTTTTGCTTGGCTTGGCAAATAGGTGAAATTGGGTCTTTTTGTAATTTAATTTCTACTCTATATAAATAATAAAGAAATTATTTAGACATATATTAATGTATTTGTGTCCTGGAGAAATTATTGGTTGATTTAGGTCCATTTTGGGAGGGAGGTTAAAAGTTATTTCTCAATTTTTAACCGATTTTCTTCTTTTATAAAAAAGTCAAAAAAAAAAGTTAAAAATGGCAATTTGTTGGCACTTCTTTTATGATTTTTTGCTTGGCTTGGCAAATAGGTGAAATTGGGTCTTTTTGTAATTTAATTTCTACTCTATATAAATAATAAAGAAATTATTTAGACATATATTAATGTATTTGTGTCCCGGAGAAATTGTTGGTTGATTTAGGTTCATTTTGGGAGGTAGGTTAAAAGTTATTTCTCAATTTTTAACCGATTTTTTTCTTTTATAAAAAAGTCAAAAAAAAAAGTTAAAAAGTAATTTTTAACCATCTTTTTAAAACACCTCTTAAGAGCTTTGAGTTGTTTTGGCAACATGTTAAAAAAGTCAAAAGTTAATTTTTTTAATTCATTTTAGGTCACATTATTTTTCAAATGAAACAGTAGAAAAAATTTAAAAAAAAATCAAAAGGTTAATTTTTAACCATCTTTCCAAAATACCCCTTTATATATTGTGATTTATGAAAAAAATGGAACCCACTTTTTATATTAAATGACTGAAAAATATGAAATGACATGTGAATTTATAATTGAAAAATGCTATGAACTCTAAATATTTTAGTAATATTTTTACTAAATATGTCATATAAGTGTGAGACCTACACTATGTGAGTTTTATTTAAATATCATTTCATATGAGATATTTAATAAAAATATTAATAAAAAATTTAAAATTTTTAATATTACTCTTTATAATTTGGCCAAGTTTGGCAACCCAAAAATAATCTTTCTTTTTATCTTTTTTCTATCACATCACCTCTCTACTTTTCTGCACATCTTTTCATAAAAAGATAAAAAGTACATTTATTTAAGTCATTCCAAACAATCCTTTAGTCTCAAATATGATCATGTGATATGATCGTTGACAAATAATTTTTGAAATGTGAGTTTTATTTAAATATCATTTCATATGAGATATTTAATAAAAATATTAATAAAAAATTTAAAATTTTTAATATTACTCTTTATAATTTGGCCAAGTTTGGCAACCCAAAAATAATCTTTCTTTTTATCTTTTTTCTATCACATCACCTCTCTACTTTTCTGCACATCTTTTCATAAAAAGACAAAAAGTACATTTATTTAAGTCATTCCAAACAATCCTTTAGTCTCAAATATGATCATGTGATATGATCATTGACAAATAATTTTTGAAAAATATTATATATTCTAAATAAATTATCAAATATTCTATTAAATCTCTCAAATGAATATAGAACACATAATTTGTGTGAATTTCACATCTATACAAAAAATTTAATAAAATATTTAATAATTTATTTGAGATTCCTAAGTAATTTTTCGCGCATAACATGTGTGTATTAAATGTTTGACAGGTAGAGGAGAGAGACAGGTTTGCATTTAATAGTCCCAGAATGAGACTCAACCCACAAATAAATAAATATGTAGTCCAAGAATGAGAGGATGTGTCCCCAGTTAGCGGCTGTGTAATGGCGCATGAGAGTTTTGTTTTTGTCTTGATTTGATGAACTGTGTCTGTGGGTGGACTGCGAACCCGTGATATGTTTTTTTTGACAAAAATTGTCTATTTGGTTTTCAGAATAAATATATATGTTTTAAGAAAATAGTTCTCAAAAAATAAAAAATTAATCTGGAAATTTTTTTTTTAAACAAATGCTTATTATTTTTATTAATTTTTATCTTTATTTTTTAACAAGCGAAATATCCTTTTGATATTTATTTTTTACCAACTAGTGTCTATTTTTTTTTCAAAAAAATAAAATAATTTCAGAAAATCAACCAACATTTGCCCTTCCAATAATAGTCCCAGAATGAGACTCAACCCACAAATAAATAAATATGTAGTCCAAGAATGAGAGGATGTGTCCCCAGTTAGCGGCTGTGTAATGGCGCATGAGAGTTTTGTTTTTGTCTTGATTTGATGAACTGTGTCTGTGGGTGGACTGCGAACCCGTGATATGTTTTTTTTTTTTTGACAAAAATTGTCTATTTGGTTTTCAGAATAAATATATATGTTTTAAGAAAATAGTTCTCAAAAAAATAAAAAATTAATCTGGAATTTTTTTTAAACAAATGCTTATTATTTTTATTATTTTTTATCTTTATTTTTTAACAAGCGAAATATCCTTTTGATATTTATTTTTTACCAACTAGTGTTTTTTTTTTTCAAAAAAATAAAATAATTTCAGAAAATCAACCAACATTTGCCCTTCCAATAATATTTTTTTATTTGTCTGATGTATGTATTTATTTAGCTCAGTTGATATAACCAACATGTAATTTTCAGAACACAAAACAATTACTTGTTTTTCTGAAGTAAATTACATTTTCTTTATTTTTTTTATTATTTTAGTTTTTATATTTTTAATTGACTTACTTTCAACGCTTAATTTTAATTTTTTTTGGCAAAAAATGACATTACACACATATTTTCATTATATTTATTTACAAAATCCAAAATTTTCATTTTATCTTTTTCAAAACAATTACCTGTCTATTTCTTTCCCCATCTATTTCTTAGACTTATTTGTTATTCCTCAATGGTTGTGTGTGTAAATAAATGTATAAATAAAATAAACAAAGGAAATTAAATAATTCGAAAATTAACTTAATGAATTAAATTCTGAATTAAATACTTACAGAAACTTTAAATGTTGAGGCTTGTGTTGGACGCAATCTTCTTAAAGTAGATTTCACCCATGCTCCAGTTCTTCGAGATTTACCGGTGTCTACTTTCCAGGATACAATGACTACTACTACTTGATTTGCAGTATTACAAACTCAAGTCTGGCGAACCAAAATTCTGCTGTGACTCTTTCTTGTTCTTTCTCAAATTAAATGATCGACAGATGCAAAAAATAGAAAGATGGAAAGGAAAAAAGAAAGACAAAATGCTCAGGAAAAATTGGATGGATTGAATTGCTAGAATAGCAGGCTATATATAGGAAAACTTATGGCTTTTTAGAATAGGTGTCAATAGATAGAAAACTTGTTTGGACAGATTCAACAGGTAGAAAACCTGTTTGGACAGATTTGAACAAAAACAGATTTGTTCGAGTGGAATTTCAACAGGTATGAACCTGTTCGGGTGGATTCTAACAGGTATGAACCTGTTAAGGTGGAGGAAAAAATTTAGACAGATTTATTTTGAATTTTGAAACCGAAATTCAAAATTAATTAAATAAAATACAAATATTTTTGGTCCAAAAAGATAAGTATTGGGTTGGACAAGCCTAACTCAATCTCACACCATGTACCTGGCCCAAGCCTAGCCCAGCCAAGCTCACTTTCCCGACCAAGACATACGGCGTCGACGGCGCGCATGTGTTTTGATTTTGGGTTCAATAGGTCTAACTTAGTTTACCCATAACCTTACCCTTCCACAAAACTTGGGTACCCCTTGGGGCCCATTCCAAGTATCCCAAGCTAGAGTCTATATACCTATATAAATCCTTAAGTCTTTCCAATGTAGGACAAACACATTTAACAAATATGTAGGAAACCAACCTAAAGCCATTTCCACGAACTCGAAAATGCGCGTTGAATTCTCATTCATCCGAAAATGGTTTTGAGCAACCAAATACACGATGTGACATTAAACATGAACTCAATTAGAAATGTTAAAAATAACGCTTGGGTCCTACCTTAATTAATGCTCAAAGTTAATAAAAAATAAGATTTTACAAAGCCATTTTCCAACAATCCCTCACATGAATAGAATTCACAATAATGGACATGTAACAAGATGCAGACAAAGAAAAAGTACATTAAAAAAATACACCACATCGAGATAGGTAGCTTTTGGCTTTGAATCTCCTCCAGTGAAAGCCTATCGGACTCACTGGCTAACCAGTGGACGCGATGCCATGAACTGTTCAGCTGTTTGTGTAAGCCAAGACAATAGACTACACATAGTGTATCCGCAGACACAGTTTGGTTCTCACAATTGTGTTCATTTTGACCCTGAACAACACCAAGTAATTCATGAGTGCTCTAGAGAATTTAGCCTTGTCAATTCTCATAGAACCGGCCTAGTTCACACTCATATAGGTGACTTCTTATTAAGAGTATCCTGCTATACTCCACTTGGATATCCAAGCTATAAGAATCATTAAAGGAAAAGCTTATCCTACTAACGTTGTAGGTATCACTCTTCTTATCATAGAAATAGGTAAAAGAAAACCTCTTTAGTGATACATGAAGTCGTTCATAATTCGTTTGTCCCTTTGAACCTAGATCTTGGGTTCTCCAGTCAACTAGGTTGGGTTGCCATTATGACGACTTTTAAGTAATAGGCTTTAATCCCATTTATCTTGATAAATGGCACACTTCCTCTCTGGCTAGCCCTTTAGTCAATGGACCCGTAATATTTTCTCTTGACTTTACATATTCTATGGAAATTATTCCATGTGAGAGCAAATGCTTAACGGTATTATATCTTCGATGAATGTGTCGAGACTTACCGTCATACATATGATTTTGTGCCCATCCTACTGTTGCTTTACTATCACAGTGAATTCATACAGCTGGCACAGGTTTAGGCTACATTCGAATGTCTTCTAAGAAATTACGAAGCCATTCTACTTCTTCTCCTATTTTATCTAATGCGATAAACTTAGCTTCTATTGTCGACCTTGCTATACATGTCTGCTTGGAGGATTTCCAAGAGATTGCAGTACATTCCAGGGTAAAGACATATCCATTAGTGGATTTTGAGTCTTTAGTATCCGATATCCAATTTGCATCGCTGTACACCTCAAGTACTGCTAGATATTTGGTATAATGTAGGCCATAATTCTAGGTATGTCTTAGATATC